CTCCCACCCCCCACCACCACATAAAGGCTGAGTAAGTTATCCCACCATGGGGAATGAGCTCCAAAAAGTCAGTTGATGGGGGGTGGAATGGGAGAGAGGTGGGGGTCCAGGAGAAGGGGAGGGAAAGAGAACTAGAGATGGCATGTAAAATGGAAAAAAAATATAAATGAAAAAGACACCACCCCAAAGTGTATGTTCTTTGGTATATATGCATTTACTTGTCTTTAAAACTGAAGAGAATTGGGAGTTGAGGATTTAGCTCAGTGGTAGTGTGCTAGCTGTGCAAGGCTCTGAGTCTGAACTTCACCCCTAGAAAAGGAAGAAAAAAAAAGGATATCCAAGCCTAGGCAAATGACTATAACATTAATGAGGACTAATTAAGATCATTTTAAGTATTCTGCTACCCATGAAAACATTTTAATATTATGCACTATTCATAGACAACTATCCTGCTGTACACCTTAAATACAAAACATTTTGTTAAGTATAAGGCAACAATTCTGGAAAATGTACTCTACATAATATACTTATTTACTAAATATTCAGAATAACATATAATTTTTACAAATTACATAATGTTACACGGGTTAACTAAATTTTAACATGATTGGCACACTTATAGAAAAATTTCCAAAAAGACAAATAAAAATATTTTCCAAATATTTTAACTGTCAATCAGTCAAATTTATTCAGAGAAACAAACCAAAATGCACACATACTTAAAATATATGTAGATTTATATGAAAACTACATAAGGTAACTATGGGTACAAAGGAGTCCTCCCCTGTCTACTGCTGAAAACAGGAAATTCAATGGTGCCCAAGTGGCAAGATATCATTGATATCTGAGGACATAAAACATCGCAGAGATAGAGATAGATAGATAGATAGATAGATAGATAGATAGATAGATAGATAGATAGATAGATAGATAGATAGAACCTTCTGCCTCTTTGCTCATCTGTCCCTTGTCCCTTGTACTTCAATATAATGGCTGTTCACTTTAGTAAAGACAGATCTTCTTCATCTGTCTATTGATTCAAATGGTGATCTCTTTCAGAAACATTCTCAGACACACACAAAAGCAAGGGTATGCCTAAGTAACATTCACCACTCCCTCTGGCTCTCAGCAGCATTTCCACTGAATCTTCCTCACAATTTCAAATACTCCATTTATATATTTTTTTTATTTAGTTATGTTTTGTTATACTGAGTCTACCTACTCCTGCCCATAAATTGGTGGTCACAGAGTGAACTACAGAGTCCTGGGGAACTTACCAGTGGCCAAAATTCTCAAGAAAATTGACTCTCCCTCCCCTCGGCCGCCTATCTGGGTATCCTTGAACTCAGGTAGGTTATCAAATACAATCAACCATCTTGTACTAAAACCCAAATGATATTTCCAAGTAAGTAAAATGCACTTAAAATAAATTTGGACCAGAATGACTAGATCAAAATATGCAATATAAATGATAATGGTTTGTGTTTCTCTCAGAATAATGAATAATTATCATTGATATTACTGACAATGCATTTTGATTAAAAACATAATACATTTCAAGATAAAATTTAAAAGTTAATGGAAAGCATTAATGCAAAGGAAGAAGGGAAATAATTTAAAATGTCAGTATTTCATACAGAAAAAACACAAAAATAATTAATAAAACACTATATTATTTTACATTTTATAGAATGTAGGATAATATAATAGGTGAATTGATATAGTGTGCATGTAAAATAGAACAAAAATGAAGGATAGAAGATAGAAGTATATCTAACTATTGGTATTTAATCACATACTATTAGAATTATATACTATTAGGTTCATGAGGGAAAAGTAATAATTTAAGCAAATTATCATGACCAAATGGAAGACAATATTTAAATATACTAAATATTATAGACTTGTTTATATATTTTAAGAAATTTTAATATTATATTAAAACTAGGCTATGGTATCATCACTGCATAAAAAAGAGAAAATTGTGAAGGCATCTAGAAATAAAGCAATAATAAAAGTACCTCAGACAAATGAAGAATAAATTGTAATATAATCCTAAGGTTCATACAAAAGCATGGTGTCAGTGCATGAGTGAATTGTTAGATGACTCAATAAAACATAGAGCCATCCAATTAAAATGAAAACCAGGAATATAATAATGTTAAAACTTTAAATCCCTAGAGAGATGCTGCATCATTCAGTTGAGGGGATGACAATTTTAAAGTTACTGACTTCTAATATTATGTCACAATAAATTTCAAATAGATTCAGAGTATTATTAAAAATAAAACCAAAGGGCCGGAGAGTTGCCTAGGAGGGAACAGTGCTTGTTGTGCATGTGTGTGAGCTGAGTTAAATTCTGAGAAACCCCTCAGAGCATATGTGGTGGCCAGTCTGTAGTCTCCATGTACAAGCAGAGGAGACATAGAATGCCCAAAGCAGCATGGCTAGCCACACTGACAGGCAAACTCATACTTCAATTCATAAAATGGTAAAAATGGAGGAAGATACTCCACATTACTTCCAGGCTTCCCTACCATGCATACGTATATGCCTGTGCACCCCCATATATAAGGCTCCACACATACAAATATGCAAAAATACTCCCCCACCATACACACATACATATGCATAAAATAAATCAGAACAATGCAAGAAGAAGCTATGAATGGTCTATGTAATATTGAAACCATAGTAAAAGGAGCTTGTTTATGTAAATAAGAGATGAGAAAGAAGTAATTCAGATAATAATTAGTAAAGTATCTAGAGTAATTTTTTTTAAAGGTAGGAGCATAGTTGTACCTGGGTTGTTAGAGTACAACCATGACTTAGCATGGTCAAAGTCCTGAGTTCAATACAGGATTTCAGAAACCAGATGTACTGATACATACATGTAATTAGGGCTGCAAAGGTGAAGGCAAGAGAATAAATAAAACAAAAACAAAAATAGAAAATAAGTTAAAATTTAAAAAAAAGATATATTGTATGAGATACTCAAAGAGTTAATAAAATCTTATAAAGAAGATTTTTTTAAAGGTTATCTAAATTATTCAAACAGAAACTACTAGACATATCTACCTGGAGCACAAATCAGCAAGTAAAATTACCTACGGCAAATTTTCAAATGTAAAACTTTAAGCACAGAATGTTTTTTGTTTTTGCTTTGTTTTTTTATTTTGTTTTATTTTGTGTTTATTTGCATTAGCGTTTTGACATGGGTTTTGGGTCACCTGGAACTGGAGTTACAGAGAGTTGTAACTATAGCTCTTCATAAGAGTTAAGATTTATTTAGATGTGTGAAAATGAGTAGCACCTTCAAAGGAAACAGGTATTTATTTTTGAATGATGGGGAGCAGAAAGAAGAGGTCATTCGGGAGGGTGGTGGGACTGTAAATATAAGCAGAGTACAATGATAAATATGTGTGAAAATGTCATAATGAAATCTATTATTTCATATGCAAAGTAAACAATTTTAATACTGTGAAAAGTATGAAATTCAAAGGAGTACTTACTTAAACTTACTTCTCTTTACAGTTTTAAAGCATTTGATTATTTCCAATTTATCTAAAACAATCTACATGTATTGTAATTAAAATTGGGTACGATCAGCAAAAATTTAATCTACATCAGCATTTTCACAAGTGGTTTAAAAAAAACAGTGGTGTAGCTTAAGAGATGTGTGAAGGACAAATACAGAGCAAATGAAAAGAATATTTTTTTTTCAAATGTTCATTAAGGCATTAATGCATAGAGGCAATGTCCACTGACTGAACAGGCCAGTTCTTGGATTAAAACTAATCAAATCTCTTTGCATAGTTAAGAATGGGCCTGGGGTAACTTCTTTGCAATTCAAAGAGACTTCCCTTTGAATATTTTATGAAATAGATATTTTGGATGTTGTTTAATTCATAAGGGAAAAAAGACATGTTTTGAACATAGCATGGGGTATTTTGTTCATTTTGAAACTTATATTTTTATATGCAGAAAACCAGTTAACCACAGTCATGTGAATTATTTTCTAAGAGTTTCCTATTTGTTTCTTTCCCTTTGAGTTAGGAGGATACTTACTATTAAGAAGAGAGTGTTCTTCCGTTTCCCATGATGTCCTCACCTACCATGGTATCTCCCTCCCTGCCCTCCCACTCAGTCCCTGTTCCAGTTCGACCCTCCTATTTCCCTATGTTCTCATTCCCCACTCTTTGCCCTCTGCCACAACCCCCCCCCCACAGTCCTCTCATGTAGATCTCATCCACTTCTCCCTTTGCTGGGTCATCCATGTGTCCCTCCTAGGGTCTTTCCCAGTTAGCTAGACTTCTGGAGCTATGAGTTGCACTCTGGGTGCTGGGAAGGCTCACACGAATCCACAAGGATGACACCACCTTGGACTGCTAGCAGTGGTCCAGAGGGTCCCTGGACTGGTCTACTCTGGTGACCGATCTAGCGAATACCCTAACTATTATCATAGAGCCTTTGTCCAGTGACTGATAGAGGCAGATTCAGAGATCCACAGCCAGACACCAGGCTGAGCTCCAGGAATTCAATCGATGAGAGAGAGGAGGGATTCTGCAGGCGGGGACTATGGAGATCATGACCGGAAAATGTGCAGAGATGACCCTATTGGAGGTCCATGGACTGTAGACTAGTGGCTGTGAAGCCCACAAAGGACTGGGCTAGGCCCTCTGGATACGTAAGACGGTTGTTTGGCTCGAACTATTTGGGGACCACCCAGGCACGGGGATCAGGATCCGTCCCTGGTGCATGGGCAGGGGTTTGGGATTCAGGTGCCTAAGCAGTTGAGCTCTTCTGACTCCCCATGGGAGACTTTGATTTGGGGGATGTGGGGAAGTGGGGTGGCTTGGGAGGGAGGGCTGGGAGATGGGAGGAGGGAGGAGGTGGAATCTGTGGGTGGCATGTAGAAAATTTCTTAATAAAGAAAAATGGGGGGGGGGAGAAGAGATTGTTCACCATTAGGAGGCAGAAAGACCATAAGAACCTGAGATTGAAGAGTTAATGGGAACAATATAAAAAGGAACTATATTCTTGCTTAAAAATGCTTCTGCCCCTGCTTGAGCAAAAACCACAGCTCTTGCAGGTGCAAAGCTTGCCCCCTGCTTGAGCAAAAACCACAGCTCTTGCAGGTACAAAGCTTGCCCACAGCCCTGCCGCCTTGCGAAAAATAGGCTGTTCTGCAAAAGCCACGAGATGTATTCAAGATTTCCCAGAAACTGCTGTTACCCACCCAAAACCACCCAGACCCCCAAGACTCAGCTAGGTGTCTGAACCCCGAGTAACCCCTCTACCCCACCCATATGAAACTGCCCTATAAAAAGCCTATAAGCTGGAGCTTCGGGGTCTTCAGTCCTCATCTTGACTGTTGACCCGTGTGCACACGTACAATAAACTGCTTCTGAGTGACTCGATATCGGAGTGAAGCTTCTATTATCAGCGCCGACTCTAACAAGATGATGGTAGACTTCAAGCTAAAACTCCTTTCCAGATACAACAGCACTGGAACACATATGAGCTCACAGACTGTGAAAGCAAATGGAATACTTGCACAAGTTCAAACCAGTCAAAATCCCGAAAAGGAAAAGGGGGAATAGGAATAAAGCCCGTCGCTTAACCGATAGCCGTTTACAAGTGACAGCTCTGGAAGGCTAGCAAGCAAGTTATTTTAAATGAGGTGATAAGGAGTGTACCAACCACACTCCAACACAGGGCAAATACTCATAGTTGGCCAACACAAAAGGACTCTATCTTTGTTTGGTCTTGTTTTTGTGGTTGTGTTTTTTTTTTTTTTTTTTTTTGGTACTTTTTGATTCGGGGGAAAGAAAGAATATGAAGTAGAATGGGAAGAGAAAATGGAAATCTGAAAGAGGGGAGCAGAAAGAACATGACCAAAATTTATAGTATGAAAAATTAAAAACATAAAGAACCATTCTACTATACATCATAATTGAAAAGTTGCAAATACATTATAACCTCAAAATAAAATAAACTTTCCTCACTAATATGTGGTATTATAAATATTAATCACTCCAAAGATTGCTTATGAGGTTACAATTATAATAAAATTCGTACCTCTTTTTGCCTTTTATTAAAAGTAAATTATTTTTTTATAAAATATATCCTGATTACAGTTCAACTCCCTCTACTTCACTCAGTTCCTCCTCCTCTTCCCTTTTCTCCCATACAGATCCACCTCCTATGTGTCTCATTTAGAAAAGAACAGGCTTCTAAGAAGTAGCAACAAAGCATAAAAAAAGAAATGAAATAAACAAAAAAAAAATCATCACATCTAAGTTGGACAAGGCAAATCGACAGAAGGAAAAGAGATGTCAAAACAATCAGAGACCCATGCCTTCACACACTCAAGAGTCCCATAGTAAACAGGAAACCGTAATATATATGCAGAGTTCCTGGGAGAGACTTGTCTAGGCTGTGTGCTGGCTGCTTCTGTCTCTGTGAGTTCATAGAATTCCTCAGTTGATTTAGAAGGCCTTGTTCTCCTTGTGTCCTCCATCCCCTCTGGACTCTTATACTCTATTCTACCTCCTTTTCCACTGGGATCCCTGAGCTCGTAGGGATGGGATTTGATGGAGACATCCCATTTAGAGCTGTGTGTTCCAAGGTCTCCCTCTCTATGTGTAATGTCTGGCTGTGGATCTCTGTATTTGTTCCCATCTGCTGTAGAAGGAAGCTTTTCTGAAGATGGTTAAATAAAGCACTGATATACGAGCATAGGAGAATATCATTAGGGGTTATTTATTGCTGTTCTTTTTAGACTACTAGTATTTTGTTTTACCATAGATATGTGGGCTATCCCATCTTTGGTTCTTGGTCACCCAAGCAGTGTTGGATATTGGTTCCATCTTTTGGAGTGGGCCTTAAATCAAATCAAACATTAGTTGGTTACTTTTACTATCTTTGTGCCACTATTGCCCTGACATATTTTTCTGGCAAGACATATTGTACAACAATGGTTGTAGCGGGGTTGTTGTTTATGTTTTTCTTTTGGTAGCCTGCTGAGTAACTTCCCAAACAGAAGACAAGAGTGTAGGGTTAAAGTCTATGTATGCTCTGGCTTGAACTCCCCATGTTCAGTTAGTTGTGTGGGTGTTGTCCTCTACAGTGGGGCCCTGTTGTCAGTTCCTGTAGGGCAACATGCTCTCTTGGCACACCTGAATATTTTGGGGATTGCCATGAGACCCTTTTGGACAACAACTTAATTGAACTTAATTGGATGTCACTAAGTCCTAGTCCTTGAAGCTTTGATTGGTGCCAGAGACGGCCATGGTGATTGTCTACCTCATTATTTGGAGAATTTCACTTCACTGGGTTTCTATGCCACCCCTCAAATCCCCTTAATTCTAGATAACTCTCCCAGATTTCACTCCCTCCAAATTGAACCATATTCCCTCCCGCTCAACACCTGATCCTCTTGTTCTCATTTCTACCCACCCCTAGTCCACCCATAAAATTTATTCTGTTTCCTCCATCCCACAGAGATCTATGTCCATTCCCCCCCGAGTCCCTTCCTTTATACCTAACCTCTGTAGGTCTTCAGAATGTATCTTGATTAGTTATTTATTTAATGATTAATATCAACATATAAGTGAATACATATCATACATATCTTTCTGGGTCTGTGTTACCTCACTCAGGATGATTTTTACTAGTTGGATTCATTTGCCTGCAAATTTTATGCTGTTAATTTTTTTTTTACAGCTGAGTAATACTCCATTGTGTAAATGCAGCAGGTTTTCTTTACCCATTCTTCTGTTGTGGACATATAGGTTGTTCCATGTTCTGGCTATACTGAATAAGCAGCAATGAACATGACTGAACAAGTGTTCTGATGGTAGAATGAAATGTATTTGGGGTATATGCCTAAGAGTGATATAGATAGATCTTGAGGTAGATCAATTCCTTTCTTTTTGAGAAACCACCACACTGATTTCCAAAATAATTGTGTAAGTTTGCATTCTCATTAGCAATAGAGGAGTGTTCCCATTGCTCCATATCCTCACCAGCATGAATTGTCACTTGTGTTATTGATTTTAGTTATTGTGAACGGTTTAAGATGGAATCCCATAGTTTTGATTTGCATTTCCCTGGTGGCTAACAATTTTGAACATTTCTTTAAGTGGTTCTCAGCCATTTGAGTTTTCTCTTTGAACTCTGTTTAGATCTGTGCCCCATTTTTTAATTTGAATTTTTTTGTTTTTTATATCTAGCTTACTGATATATATACATATATAT